ATATTTATCGATACCGATCGGAATCCTAAGTATATGTTTAAAGTAAAAAAATTATTTTACTTTTTAATACCAGTTAAAATTTTTATAATTAAATTATTAAAATTGTAATAATTAAAGTTATTCTTTGCAAATAATTCTATAAAATTAATTATTATTATATAAATTTTAATTTAAAAATTTTTTAAATTTGTCAAAGATTAATTATTATTAAAAAATTTTTTGCTTTTAATTAAACTTGAAATTTTTATTAAATAAATAAAAAATAAATGCTATCAATAGATAATATATAATTATAACCAATATTATATAAATTTTTTTAAAATTTTTTTTGATTATTTAAAAAAATAAATAAAAAGTAACTTTTTAGTTAAAAAATTTTAATATTATAAAAAAAATAACTATAATTTAAGGGATAATAAAGAATAATTATTTAAAGAGATTTTTTTTATATTTGTAATAACACAAGTTGTATTTCTAATTTTTTTTTAAAAAAATTCAAAATAAATAAAAAAAAGTTTTTTTTTTTTTTGCAAATTAAAAAATATATTTGTATATAATTAAAAAAAATATTTTTATTTATTTATTATTAAAAACTTTATTTTAATAAAATCCAAATTTGAAATTTTTTATAATCATTAATTATTATAATTATTTTTTATTATCTGTAATCAATTATAATATTTAATTTCATTATATCAAAAATATTTAAGAATATTTAATTATATAGATTAATATTTAAATAAATAAGTTTATATATTAAATAAAAAAATTTTTTTTTGTTATTAGTTTTAAAATTATTTAAATTTAAATATCAAGTTTAATTATTTGATTACAAATTTTCAATATAATTAATTAATAAAATTATTTTTAAAATATACAGTATAAATATTAAATATAATAAATTATTGAAAAACTAATTTTTGAAATTTATTAATTTAATTTGGATTTGCAAAAACTGTTGTTAAAATTGTATCAGAAATTTTCAAATGATTATTTTATAACAATGTATTTTTAATTTTCAATTACGTAATACAAAAATTAAAAATTTTAGTTTATACAATATACCGTATATCAAAAATCGTTAATTTGTAACCAAATGATTTTAATTTTAAACTGAATTTAGTAATTTATTAAGTAAGTATTATTATGTTAATAGATTTATAATATTTTATAGATTGTTATTTTTATGTTTATTTGTTTGTTTATCGGTTACAGGATAGTTTTTCTCAGAGGTCGTTACTTGAACCCCTGTGCGGGAAATGCCCCATGACTGTTATCCGTTACAAAGCAGGTGTCGTTACACAAATCCTGTAAGGGGAAATGTCCCGGGACTATAGTATTACTTTAATCGTTTATATATAAATTTAAGATTTAAAGAATTTTCTAAAAAATACCATAAACGAAATGCAAGATGATCTATAAAAAGTTGAAGTCGTTGTTTTTTAAGCGTATTCGAAAGATAATATGTATGTGCTGTATCATGTGGGTAAGGGAATCATGTGATCGGTGAGGCGTTCGTCGCATCAATCTCCGGAAAAAAAAAATCGGAAATGGCAAATCAATATCTTAAATGGAACTCTTGTCTTACTGATTTTGTTTTTTGTTTGGTTCATTTTCTTAAAATATCATGCATTCAAGGAATGATTGAACATTTATATGATAAAACACCATAATTATCATGATATCTTTGTGAAAGATATCATGGTACAGTTTATTTTTTTTACCATTCGTGGAGTCGGCAGCCCTTTTTAAGTAATTTCATTAATTGCGATCATTTGTAAAAAAGGATGTGATTCGTGTGGTACTAAGTTTACGGTAATTTGTAATTAGTAATAGCATGGTTTATTTTTGGAAACTAGTTTCAAAATGCATTTAATTTGGAACTTAAAGTAGTATGTATCAGGTCTTTGTATTTTATTTAAAAATACCAAATAGAATCAGAATCAGAAAGCTTACCAGTTTTCTCAATACCTCTCACTCGTCAAAAAAACCACCCTGATAACATATCATTTTTTCTCAGAGGATATCAAAAAAAAAAAAATCATTATTTAATTTAACAAATACTTTTCTTAAAAAAATAAAAAATCAAAATCAAATATGAAGGTATTTTCGATACTTTTCATAATCATAACTTATTCTATCATGGTGAGGGCGCAAGGAACCACAGCACCAACGGTGTGCAATGGATACGCCGAATTTTGTGATAAGCCATACTCCTCTATAACGTTTGTAGCAACTCATAATTCCTACGCAAATACATCCGAAACAACCGGTATTCCCCAACAACTGAAGGCCGGTGTACGCGCTTTCCTACTCGATGGTCATTACAATCCAAATAGCAAAACCGCTCCAATCGAATTATGTCATACTAGTTGTGCCATACTCGATGCTGGTAAAGTCAGCGACACACTAAAGCTTTTCACCACTTTTCTAGAACAAAATCCCAACGAGGTAATTACCATCTTCTGGGAGAACTTCGATAAGATTGACCCTGCTGATTATAAAACTGCCTATGATACGGCCGGGTTAACGTCGTATGCTTATATTCCATCCAGCCCTACAGAGTGGCCTACCTTGAGCAGTTTGATCCAAAGTAATACAAGGGTTATTAATTTTATTGACACTGGAGCCAATAACGCAACTGTTCCTTGGTATGTATTATGATCACTACAACACTACGATAACCGTAAAGAATCGTAAAATAAATTTTTTTTTCGATTTATTTTTGCAGGTTACTATCGGAGTATACATATGTTTTTGAAACACCTTTCGAAAACTATGATCTTAACGCTTGGCAATGTACCGTAGATCGTCCAAAAGATCGCAATCCACCTCCACCCATGTATTTGATAAATCACTTCTTGTATCAAACCTTACCATTTGGAAACGTTACTGTGGAAATCCCAAAGACTGATACAGCAAACGTAACTAACGGCCTTAACCTAGAGCTACATGTGCAAAACTGCACGAAAATTTTTGGTAAAGCACCAAATTTTTTGGCGGTGGATGCTTATGATCAAGGATCCGATGGAAAGAATGTATTCGTGATTGCAGCCGAGATGAACAATGTTACTTATGTGCCACCCCCATCACCCAAAGAAACAAAGAAGAGTGGATCGACAGTGTTGAGTGTGAATTTGGGTGTTAATTTCCTAGCGTTGATCGGGGTAGTGACTTTTACGATATTTGGATTATAGGAAAAAAAAGGAAAAATAGTTATAGATTTCTCTGTATATACATATATTGAAATATTAGAATGACATGATCGTGAGCGAGTCTCAATTTTGAACTTGTAATAGAATACAACGTGCATTTTATTTTATTTACATTTCTTGGATCGCTGCGCCAAAAGCAACTTTCCAAATCGAGTGAATTGCTTGATCTGATGTCATCTGCTTAACCAAAATAAAAATAAAAATTTCATGTATTTCATGTCCTCAACACCTGCAAAATTTCAATTTTCCTTGGCACTTTTGAAGCCTGACCTGTGTGCAAATCCTGCTTTGATTCCTTTAATCTTGAATTCCCTCAAAAACAAGAACTTCAAGATATTAGGAGAACGCAGGCTATTATGGAATCAATCCCATGCTGAGAAATTTTACGCCGAGCATCGTGGTAAATTTTTTTTCGAAAGATTGTGCGGTTACATGACCAGGTACTGTATCTTGTAGAAATAACTTTTTACTTACTAAGCTCGAAATTTTCTTTACCATAAACTATTCGCCGCTCTCCTGATTAAACTCTTTTTCTTTTCAAGTGGTCCTTTCGTGTCATTAATACTTTCGAAACCTAACGCTATTCGTGAATGGCGCGAACTGATCGGTCCCACTCATCCTTTCAGGTTTTACTTTCGATCTATGAATATCAAATCTTTGTTCCATCCGATTATTTTATTTACCTTTTCGTTTTTAGAGCAAGAATAAATTCGCCCAACACCCTGAGAGCTTTGTACGGCCTAACGGATACTAGAAATTCCTTTCACGGTTCAGGTATCTTATTCGCATTGTCGTTATAATTATAATTATAATTATAACCTTTATTCTTACTTTATTCACGTACTTTTCCACGCGTGCTACTACTTCCAGATTCCGAGGAAACCGCAAGGAGAGAAATTCTATTCTTTTTTCCTGACTTTAAGTTTTAACTGGTATGCATGTAAATATTTCTCCGTTCAGGAAGACTGACTTGTACCAATAAGTCATGAATACACTTAACAATAAATAACGGGCTTTAAAGAAGTGAGAAACAAGGTACACGAATAGAAAGAAGGTATATGATCAGATATAACGATTATTTTAAAATAATGGATTTTTTTTTTCAAGTGAATCTATAAAGTGAAAACGTCAAACTTTTAACGTAATGGGACTTTATCATTTGCTTATTTAAGAATAATTTATGATAATGATTTTAGAATAATAAAAAAACAACCTTTTTTATTAAAATTTCATTGTTTATAGATTTTCTTTCAAAATTGTAACAATAAATTTACTTTTTTTGAATACCTTTTTAAAAATTAATCAAAACTTCCAATATATATATTATTATTATTATCATTTAAGAAAATTGTGCATTTACTGTATATGTTTCTTTTTTTTTATTCAACTTTAATGTACAGATTTTCAAGAGATATGCTAACATATACAATATGGAATAAAAATAAGTAAAATAATTAATTTTTTTATTATTTTAATTAATTAATTAATTAAGATAAAAATATATAAGTATATATTTAAAGACACTATTAAAAAATGTCACTACATAAAAACTTTTTAAATATATTTAAAAAATATTATTATATAAATTATAATTAAAAAGTAATAATAATTTAAAATTTTTAATTTTATATTAATTACAAAATAATATAATTATCAATTATTAAGATTATTTCAATGTATCATTCATTAAATATATTGTAAATTAATAAAATTTCAAAATTATTTTTTTTTGATTTTTTAATTATTAAAAGAAATTATATTAAAGTTTATTAATTATTAAATTGTATGGTAGCTCATATAAATAACCAATCTTCAATCAATTTTTATTAAGAAAACATATAAAAAATTAAACATTAAAAATAAATTTTAATAATTTATTTACTGTATATAGTAAATATTTTAAACCTTTTACAATATTTAAAAATGAGAATCCATATTTTTATTAATCAATAGTTTTTAATTAAACATTTATTGTATATAATATATTGTATATAATTTTTATTATTTTTAAAATTTATTTGTTTGTTTATTTTTTATATACGTTTTTAAAATTTATTTTTAATATAATTTATATACAATAAATTTAAATATTTAATACTAAAACCATATAAAATTTTTTAAAAAAATAATCATTTGTTCTTAAATATTAATTTGTTAAAAAATTTATAAAATTTATCATCTTTATAAATTATAAATTATTATTAAATTATTATTATTCTAAAAATTATTAAATAATATATAGATAATAATTAAATTATATTAACTATATAATTTTTATTATATAAATATTTTAAATTATTTTTAATAATTTTAAACAATAATTCAATTAACTTTGAAAAAAATTATAAATTTTTTTTCTTTTAAAAAAAATTATATTAATAATTAAAATTTTTAATTAAATAATATAAAAAAAATCATGTATTATATATTTATTAATAAATATTTTAAATTTTATTTTAAATATTATTTATATATACACAGTATATATATATTACATATTATATGAATTAATTTTTTTTATATGTCAATATATTGATTTATTAAAAACTATTGAATAGTTATTATTTTTTTTTTTTAGAAGAACCAAAGTATAATTGAAACACATCTTTTATTAATAGGTTGTTATATATATCTTATAATAAAAATTGCTATCAAGTGACTTTCTAAGAACTTATACAAATTATTAATTATATATTACTCTATACAAATTATCCTATACAATATCTTTTTCAAATACCCAAGATCCAATATTTAATATATTACTTTTGTAATATTAAAAGCAATTCAACAAAAGGTAAAAATCCTACCACTAGTTTTAAGACATCTATAATCTGTTTTTATAAACTGATTTAAAAAAAAGATTTTGTAATCACATATTCTAAAAAATTAATATTGGTATATACAAACTTATTATATCTATAGACTATATAGGCCTTACAAAGATCTAAAAAGTAATTTAAAAAAATTTTTTTGCCATTGCACGAAATTGTAATTCTTTTATTAATAACATTATATTGGTTGCCATCCAATAAGAAAGATCAAATTATTTGATTTTTTTTTTAAATATTTAAAGTTACATTCTTGAAAAATATATTTATAACATAGTTAAAAAGAAAACTGTTTATTATTACAACATTTTTTTCTTGCAAATATTGTCTTTTGAATCCTTACAATTCAATAGGTATATTGTAAACATATATAAAAATTTTACTTTTTCTTGTTGAAAGGTATCTACAAGTATTTATACAAAGATACCCATATTATTGTGAACACTTTTTATTATACAATAAAATAAATTAATAAGCAAAAAATTTTTTATTATGACCTGTGGGTCAATAGCACAGTGAGTAGTGCTCCCAGGTCACCAAACACATGTCCCTAGTTCAATACCCACAGGAGGCAAAAAAGCACATCTACCTTCATATGTAGGTTTACTGGATATCCTGCATATGTTGTACCCAATAATCCT